TTTTTTTTTTTTTTTAAGCTATATTCTTCTCTCAATTTCACCTCACGCAACCTACCTACCACTACTACTCCTAATTGTAGGCATACGGGGAACCCCATAGCATCCAGAACCGTGTTCACGAGAGAACATGCGGGGCCTGCTCCCGACCTGCAGGTGGGCGATACCGGCTAGGGGACAGGCGGTAGCATCAGGGACCATGCCAACAGGACCAATCCCTCCCCTCAGGTCCCCTCCCCTATGAACATCAGCAGACTCTGCTAAATGCCAATGGGGGCATCCACTGGTCTATCTCTAGGTGGCGGGCGCCAAGCATGCCCAGGAAGGTACATGAGGCCAACGGGGATTGAACCCACGACCTCCTGAATGCCACTTGCGAGCCTTACCAACTGAGTTAGCCCAACGAATTCTATTACCTGTATAATCTGGACAGCACGTCTTTTCAGGCCTTCTTTATTGTCATTATAGTATTACTAGCTAAGCGCCGGCGGTGCGGGCCATGCCCGCAGGAGTAAGAGTACATGGCTGCAAAGTCCAAGTTTAATTCACGAATCAGAAGAGCGACAAATGCAGTTGCGGAGGGTTGTGTGGGGGTTGGTGACAAATGCAGCAGAGGCGAACGAAACACAAGACGAGACAATAATAAGACTAGACCAACTTCGTGATTTCAAACAACAACAATTGAACACACTTTTCAATAGCATTGAGTCATTCACCATCATCTGCGAGGAACAATCATTGCAGACATTTCGAAACTATAACATTAAATGCCAACGGAACAGCAAGGCGAAACAGCTGCACCGTACATACACGACAATAAAAGAAACATGGAGACTGACCTCAGTCACATAATGTGCGAAGAAAGTGTGCAATCGTCTGAAACATCAATACAAAAATAGAAGGAAAAAAAAAAATGCGAGTGCTGCAGATGCTCCGCCCATGTATGAAGAAAGAGTGCAATCCTCTCAAACATCGATGGAAAAATAAAACGAAAAAGAAACAATAACCTGCACCTACTGCACCTGTGTATGGAAACAATGTGCAATAGTCTAACCATCTGTAAGAATACAAATGCAGTCATGACGAGCTGCACAGACTACACCATTGATAACACGACGTCATCCGAAGAACTAAATGTACTATACACTACTACGAAATAGAGGACAAAAGAGGACCAATGGTGGGACTAAACATCATCGTCGTCCACAATGTCCTTCCTCCTCCTCTGCGGCACCACACCTGTGACACCATCCCCGCCACCTGTGCCGCCTACTGGGCCGTGTGCAGTATCCGGAGCATGAATCCCCCCCTGTGGCGCCGCCTCAACCCCGCCTGTGCTCGAAGAGGGTTGTACACAAAAACCCTCTTCCGCTGGCCAAGAGGCATCTCCAAATCGGTGGTACACGACTCCCAAACGACTGCTGTCTGTGACGGTCGCTGCGCAGGCACCGCCCTCACACCCTCCCGCAATATACATCCGGCCATGCTCCTCCCGGGGGGGCCACTGTGCTCGGCGTGCTCCCCCGTACCTGCTGTACGCCCTCCGGTACGTGGCAATGCCGCCTCAGTAGGTGCGGTCATGGGCTGCTCCGTCGCCCGGGTGGAGGGCCTCTCCCCCCAACCTACTGCGTCCGCGACAACGTCCCCGCCCAATGCCTCCCGAGTCCGCGGATGTAAGCCGGCCAACCCGTGCTGACTAGCCCGCATAGTCTACGTCACCCTCCTCACAATACTAAGACTCTTACCTACTCTCATCGCTGAGCCATAGGATCAGGCTCTGGATCGTGCACGGCATCCAACTCAGTCACCATGAGCACCGTGGCACGATGACCGAAATACGTCTCGACGCTGGTCGGTGCCCTCGAAAGGCGATCCTTCCGCCCGCGCTGCACCTGCTGCTCGCGCTGCGCCTCCGTGACTCGGTCAACTGGCCGAACACCCTCGTCACGAGATGGAGGAATAGCGTCCTCTGTCTCCTCCTCCTCATCCTCCTATGGCAGGACGTACCCTGAACCCCTGCCCTGACAACGAGTCAATCTCAAGTTGGTGGATATCTCCACCAAACGAGTAAGCTTGAGGAAACCAAGCTTGTTACGCCTGTTCACCTGAAAACGCTCATGGACAACCCAGTTCCTCTCCGCCGGAGAGGCGCACGTCCATGCGTGTGTCAAGCGAATGGCATAACTCTGAAGGAGAGGGACCCCGTCCCCGTGCTGCACCCACCACTGCCCCACCTGTGATGTCTCCTTCTCCCCTCTGCAGGAGGCCGCATCCTTGTTACCCTCAACCCCTCCGTACGTCCAATCGCCCTCCCGAGAATGGAACTCCGCCAGCTGTGTGCGCAACGTCTAATACAAATCCTCATCAGTCTGCTGGCGAAGGTATCGCAGCGACTCCTCTGCCAGTGTCTTGTCGTGCTCGCTACGCCTCGCAGCTCCAAAAAAAGTAATGCTCATGTGACGAGGGTTGAGGTGGGTCATGCAATGTGCGGGCTCCGATACACGATCGACCCGCACTTGACAAGCCTGAACGATGATGTTGAGCTCGTCCATCGACGTCCTGTTCAGTCTCGCTCTCGCCACCCTGTCAACCATGGCAAGCGCCCACGACCACATGCGACACATCACCCCCCCTCCTCTGTCCAAACGACATAGCAACTGCATCACAGGCGTCATCAACTCCATGATGTCCTCCACGTGCTCCCAAAATGGCGCGTACCGCACCTGATGACGCACCCACCTGGCGTGCAAGAAAATGGACCTCCTCCATGCAGTCCGCAACCAATCGTCGCTGATCATGAACGCCTCCAACGCTCAGCGACGATCCAATAACCTCTCCAGCATTAAGTAGTGCATCGCAAACCTCGTCTGCGCAGGGTAGACAAGCTCTTTGCCTCGCCGCTGAGACGTGGGTGGCGCATCGCTGGAACTGGCCGCAGCTGCGGAGGCAGAAGAGGGGTGGTCGACAGAGAACCGTCCATAAAGGCTGAGAGCCACCCCGTGCTCTCTAATGAGCCGCACGACAGCACGAGCCCTAATGATGGTGTCCTTCCTCTTCCCAAGCTTCCCGTTGCTGCCATCCTTCAGGATGTCTGACAACAACAAGTTGTAGACATGGACCTCACACGGAAGCCAAGTGATGCGGTTGTACTTAACTTCCTCCTTCGTGAGGAGCTTGGATGCAGCTACATACGTCGACGCGGAATCAGTGTAAATGACATTCACATTTTCGACACCGAAATTGTCGAACACGTCCTTCCATCGCTCCACCACGGCCTTGGTTGTTTCCTGAACAGCACAGTCCCGCTGCACAGTCCTGAAAAGGTAGTCTCCCGTGGGCCCAGCAACAAGGAAGTTGACTATCTGGTCGCTTGTGATGGACTTGCGACCATCTGTGAGGATGGTCGCTCCCGTCGCCACAATGTCCTTGCGGACGACTGCCACCATGTCTGCCAGAACTTCCTGCTGCTCAGGGATGCCATCGCAAGAAATCACATGGTGCATGGGTAATGCAGGATGTGTGTACGGCGGACACTCTAGCAACTTTTTCCTCATTCGATGGTACTCTAGCCTCCTCGCCGCCTCAGATGGAATGTCGCTCACGTACCACCACTGCAGGAAGGAGTTCGACAAATCTGGTTGCCACACCGGATCGAAGGTCTCCATCATGGAAGTTTGCCGAAGTACTCTACTCTTCTTCGGCAGAGGAGGTGATGGTGTCTCCTTCGTGACAGTCTTCATCGCCTTCCTCTTTCTCTTCTTCGATCCCCTGGCCTCCTTTATCGCTCTGGCAGCCCCTCTTGGCCTCGACGGCCAATGGTCATCAGCCCCCCATCAAGAGAGGTTCCAATGTCTGCGCCGTAATCGTCGTCATCGTCGTCATTATCCGGGGTGCTGTCCTCGTCAACAGCCTTCTCACCCCTCATCATGTCCTGTGTATCGCAGTCACCATCATCATCTCCATCCTCGGTCGCCCTCTTCTCATGCTTGCTGTCCTCGTACTCCTCCTCCCCCTCCTGCTCCCTCCCGAAGTACATTTATTGTCTCGAAACCCACGAGACTTCAAGAAGTCGAGGGTCTTCCGATGATGGCTATGATCAAACGAGTAGTTCGTTTTGTTTTAAATCCCCACCAGCCGCTCCACGAAGACTTTAGCGTAGTTGTTCTTTATCGTGAAGTGTTGTGCGGCCTTCGTTTGACTTTTTTGAGACCCGTGGCCACACAATTTGCACTCCATGAGAAAATTCCCGTTGGATGTCTTCAGTGTTTGCCCCTTTGTGATCCACTTAATACCGCAGAACCTGAGCTCCACCTGCCTCTGTTTGTCCTTACTGACCGCGACAAGCGGCTGCTCTCCCCTCCCTTTCCTGGGCCCCATTGTAGACAACTGCGGTCGCGCCCCCCTGCCCCCCTGCCGCCCCGCACCCCCTGCCGCCCTCGCCCCCCTGCCCCCCTGCTGGCCCCTTCCTTTCCTGGGAGAAGACAACTGTGTCGGAGCCCCCTGTCGCCCCGCACCGGAAACGGCCCGGGCCACGCTCGCCCCGACCCAGACACGTTAGGAGTACGGGTCGTACAAACGAACCGTTCCGTACGGACGGGCCGCACGTACGCGGCGTCTGCCATGCAAGGTCGGCCCGCGTCGCGCCATGTGTCGCCCGCTCAGTGGCCGCCTCCTTCCTTCAGGCCGTCGCCATCTCTGTCGTCGAGGTCGCCATCGTCTTCGTCCTGTCTCTCTCTCTTTCTCTCTTTCTCTCTTTCTCTCTCTTTGTGCGTGTGTGTGTTTGTGACTCTGTGTGAAATAGAAGAAGAATAAGAAGAAGAATAAGAAGAAGAAGAGGAAGAAGAAAGAAGAAGAAGAAGAAGAAAAAAAATTATAAAGCACGACAAAAAAAAAATGACGAAATAACAAGAAGAAGAAAAACAAGAATAAGAAGAAGAACTTGAAGAAGAAGAAATAAGGAGAAGAAGAAGGTTACTGACCACCTCCTCTTCGTTGAACTCTCTCTCTCTCTCTCTCTCTCTCTCTCTCTCTCTCTCTCTCTCTCTCTCTCTCTCTCTCTCTCTCTCTCTCTCTCTCTCTCTCCCCGCGCGCGTCGACTCCCCTTCACAACAGCCGGCACGGTTAGGCGTACGGCGCGCACGGAAAGAGTGGCCCGTACGTACCCGGCATCCAATTACACGGCGTCTGATGCCGTGCTCGTCGTCGTCCTGCCTCGTCGTCTTTGCGTCGCCGTCGTCGTCGTCGTCTCTCGTTTTCCCTCTCTCTCGTCGCCGTCTCTCTCTCTCTCTCTCTCTCTCTCTCTCTCTCTCTCTCTCTCTCTCTCTCTCTCTCTCTCTCTCTCTCTCTCTCCGTGCTTTGCCCTCAACAACATCCACGCTCTCTATTGAGTTCTCTCTCTCTCTAATGTGGGCGACAACAAAAACTGTGGGTGTTGACGGCCACATCCTCACTTATATGCACATGCTGACCGCCGAGTCCACCTCAATCTGAATTTTTGNCTCTCTCTCTCTCTCTCTCTCTCTCTCTCTCTCTCTCTCTCTCTCTCTCTCTCTCTCCGTGTGTTGCCCTCAACAACATCCACGCGCACTATTGAGTGGGCGACAACATAAATGTGGGCGACAACAAAAACTGTGGGTGTTGACGGCCACATCCTCACTTATATGCACATGCTGACCGCCGAGTCCACCTCAATCTGAATTTTTGTTTTTATTTTTTAATGAGAAAAAAAAGGACTGCCCGCGTCCACGCGTGCTTAGCAAGGCAGCCAGTAGCGCGGGCCAGGGCAGTTTCGAAGGGTAGGCCGGTGCCCCGGCCTGCCCTTCAAAACTGCCCTGCCACGCGCCACTGGCTGCCAGGCTGAGCCCCACGGGGACGCGGGCAGTCCTTTCTGGTTATTCTAATTTTTCACAAAAAAATAAAAATAAAAAAATTTCAACAACACAGCAGTGCCCCCCCACACCCATCCCAACAACCCAGGCCCTTACACCCCCCCAAGCATCCCCCCAACGGCCCGTGGCACGTTCGGACGGGGAGCGTACGTATGCTCGTATGGACATCTGTACGCTATGTTGCACGCCCGGTCATGACCGGGCTGTGTAACACCCCGTACGTTGTACGGGGCTTCTGTCGTACGGCCGTATGTACGGTTCCGTACAAATAGACGAAACCCCACAAAAAAAAAACGAAAAATAAAATTAAAAAAATATGAGGATCATGGGGATGTAGAGTTTTTCCTGCTCTACACCCTCAATTTTTTCTTTTTTTTTTTGTCATTTTTTACATTAAAAAAAAAAAAAAAAATTTAAACGGGAAAAAAAAAGATAAAATAAAGAAATAAAAATTGATTGATTGATTGATTGATTGATCGATTGATTGATTGATTGTTGATTGATTGATGTTTGATGGATCGATTGATTGATTGATTGATTGATTGATTGATTGATTGATTGATTGATTGAATAAAAAATAAAAATAAAAAAATGCCCGCATAAGCGCGCACGATTGAGGCTCTGCGCGCATACGTGCATGCGCGCACGCGCACTCGTACGCGCGCGCGCGAGAGAGAGAGAGAGAGAGAGAGAGAGAGAATGTGTGTGTGGGCGTGTGTGTGTGTGTGTGTGTGAGTGTGTGTTTGCGCGCGCGCGCGTGTGTGTGTGTGTGTGTGTGTGTGTGTGT